TAATTGTTCTTCCGTCAAGCCTTTATTTTCCATTTCTGTTTTGATTTAAAATAAAAATAAGAATGTTAATGCATTATATCGATGTTGTATATTTTTATTGTCCGAAGCGTAGCAAGGACTTACATGTACAAGTAAAACTTGAAAAATGTCTGTCTGTCCGGCACATGACTAAATTGTGATTGGTTGATGATCTACACATACTAGAGGCCTGAGCAGAATTTTGTCTGTCTGTCCACCCACATGACCATTCACATAAATGATTGGACAATTTTAGATACTAGAGGCCTAAGTAGAATTTTGTCCGTCTGTCCGCCCACGTGACCAATTATATAAATGATTGGATAATTTTTTTAATTCACTTCGGACTTACAACAGCACCTGTTTTCCTAGTTTATACTTACAATGGTTATACAAAACAATCGACTATAGTAAGAAATATATCTTTAATTGTGCGTACCTGCATATCTATACATATCAATCCTGTATTGTACGGTATAGTTGTACACCTATATAGTCACCTTATGTAATCACATCATAAGAAAACCTTTTCTATAATAGAATAAAAACGTGCAATACTTTGCTCATAAATGAGCGTTGCAGAGTGAAATGCTGTGTTTAGTTGTAGGTTTTTGCTCTGCAACGCTCAAATTCATAAAAAAAACAAAAAACATATAAGTGCTTATAATAAAAATAGCACAATTGATGTGTTAAAAACTGTGAATATAGAGGAGTATGACAACATGGCCCCAAATTGTAAATTCCATGCACCACAATGATATAAATAACGCAAAAGGAACGGTAAGTGCATTATCAACAATAGAGGGAATTCCATCAATATCTTTTGAAGACACTGCTCCTCGACTTAAAAGAAAAAAAATAGGGATAAAGTTCATCGCTAAATATTTATGGTATGCTTTAATACAATTACAAACCTAAAAGCATCAATCAATCCATAAATAAACATGATCACTCCAACGATGAAAGGAATTATCAACCAATTCGTATAAAATCCTGAATTCGATTTCGTTATTATTATCAGTCATTAGATAATACACAAAGATATATATACAATGTGTAAAAAAAAAAAAAAAATATACCACTCATAAATGCAAAATACAATGCCAACTTTCTCCAAAATATTCTCGTATTTGCTGTCAGATCTTTATTCAAGTTCTCTTTTGACTTATCATGGAGAGGTTTGTCAAAATTCTCTTTTGACTTATCATGAAAAGGTTCGTCCAAATTCTCTTTTGATTTATCATAAAAAGATATGTCCAAGCTCTTTTTTGACTTATCATGAAGAGGATAATATCTAGTGATGACTTTATCACTTATAAGCTTTGATAGTTCGTACTTATTTTTGAATATTTCATTATCGACGTAACTTTTTAAATCAGAGTAACTGGCTACGTTTATGATATGGTGAACCTATCAAAAAGCATACATGTAATGGATTTTTATTATAATATAGAAGATGAGATTTAAAGATTCAATGAAAATTTACCAATAAATTTCTTCTTTATAAACTGAAAAAATTCAAAAGGGTGTTAGGTCCCTCATCACCACCTTTGAACCTTTTCAAATTTTTTGTTTTGAAAAGAGCAGTATGCTTGTTGTGATTTATGTTATCAAATGTAAAGGTAGATAAGAAACTCATGTTGCTATATTAAATATATTAA